TTCAAGAGCAAAATCGGAAGATACAGTTAAAAGAAATCTGGCAAGCAGAACAAAAAAACAGATGGAAAATAAAAAGGATGGAAATCCTGTTTTTTTAATAACAGTAGCTGTGACTTTTTTTTTTTTAACGTTTATTTATTTTTGAGACAGAGAGAGACAGAGCATGAACGGGGGAGGGTCAGAGAGAGAGAGGGAGACACAGAATCTGAAGCAGACTCTGGGCTCTGAGCTGTCAGCACAGAGCCCGACGCGAGGCTCGAACTCACAGACTGTGAGATCATGACCCAAGCCGAAGTCGGACGCTCAACGGACTGAGCCACCCAGGTGCCCCAAGAGGATGGAAATCTTACTCTAGAAGGTACGATATGTAATTAATAGGAACTTCGGAGAGAACACAGAAAACCGAGAGGGGCAAATTACGAAAGACTAAGGTAACACAGGCCACGGCTCAGGGACACAAGTCTCCATACTGAAAGGGCCCAGGCAAGGAAGAAAGGCCGCCCGCGAGTGACATCATCAGGCACGGCAGAGGCAAACAGGAGGGCTGCAGACCAAGTGAAGATTCCCCCACCCCCACCCCAGAGCTTGAAGGAGGGGGAGGTGAGGAGGGAGAAGACCCTGGAAGGATGGAGAATCAGTCTTTACTCCTGGAACACGGGAAGCTGGAAATTCTGTCAAATTTTTGAGGGACTAGGATATCCATGCACACCTTCTATGCCCAGAAAAATCTTTCCACTAGGCATAAAGCCACTGCCATAAAAGGGACAACGTATTTAGCACACATGAAGCTACCAGAGGGTTCACGTCTCCAAAATGTTAGGGACTATCCATTGGAAGATGATCTGGCATCCAGAACACGGGTTTCAAGCCAGATGAGAGTGACAGCAAAGTGTGGGATGGTGCCTGGGGGGAGACTCCTGAGTAGGTGTGAGAAGAGAGGGGTATGCAGTCTGGAGCAGGAGGCTGCCACCTCCCACAGGGAGGCCTCCAGAAAACACGGTACTCATCGGGTGCCCTCACGTGCTTGAGAATCCGGAAAAGTTACTGCAAAGAGCTCGACCTATCTCTCAGAGCCTTTGGGGGAAAATAGCAAAATAAGCCTACAGAGAAACAAGCAGAGAAACAAAAGTGACAAGCATTCGGCAAGAAAGGAAACCTAACCATAGTACATTACTCGGCTTAGCAGCGAAACGATTTACACGGCCATGATAATGTGCACGCTGACTGGTGAGTTAGCCAAAAGTTGTGATAAAATCCTAGTAGAAGGACGGAGGGATGAAAAGTGGGCTTATCGGGGTGTAAGAGGGCCGAAGCTTCATCTGAATTTGTAGGAAGCCTTTTGGTGCTGCCTGCAACAGATACTTTGGAAAGCAGCAGTTTATAATCTAAGGGTCTGTGGTTCCCAATTGGGGGCAGTTTGGCCCCCAAAGAGGCATTTGTGGTGGTCACAGCAGGGTGGGAACGTTGGGAACGTTACTGGCATCTCCTGGTTCATTAGTTTCCTGTTGCCACTGTTAAAAATCACCACAAATTTAGCAGCTTAAAACAACACATCCCTTGTCTCACAGTTAAGGAATTCAGAAGTTCTAAATGAGTCTCAACTGGGATAAAACCAAGGTGCAGGTGGGGTCCTCGCCTTCTGATGAGAATCCGTTTCCTCGTTTTTCCAGCCTTAGAGGCGCCCCCCCCCCCCCCCGTGTCTGCAAATTGCATCATGCCAGCCTCTTGGCGTCGTCCCCACCCCTTCCCTGACCCCTCACTAAAGGACTTCCACACTAAAGGACCGATGTGATGATGCTAGGCTCACGTGGATGATTCAGGACCATCTGCTTATATTAAGGTCAACTGATGAGCCTGCCTAATTTCTAATTTCGTCTGCAAGTTCAGTCTTCTGTCCCCTTATCCAGTAAGAGTGCACGGGTTCCAGGATATGTGGGGTGCAGACGGCTTGGGGAGAGGCTGTTACTCTGCCTGTACAGATGAGTTAAGGCCAGGGATGCTGTTACACGTCTGACAGTGCCCAGGGCAGCCCCCACAGATGCGGGCAGTGCCAAGGGTGAGGAGCCCCGATGTGGCCATCAGTTTTGCTGGGGGCTTCTGGTTGGGAGGGGGCGAAGGGAGCTTCCTGGGGAGCTGAAGTCTTTGCTCTCTTGATCTGGGCTGTGGGCACACAGATGTATGCATCCCTAACAAATGCAGTTATTAGATGTGCACACTGAAAGTATGTTACACCTCCTTGAAAAGACCACTGGGGGGGGCCTGGGTGGCTCCCTTGATCAAGCGTCTGACTCCCATTTCTGCTCTGCTCGGGATCCCTGAGTCGTGGGATTGAGCCCCACGTTGGGCTCCGTGCTGAGCTAGGAACCTGCTGGGGATTCTCTCTCCCCTGCTTGTGTTCTCTTTCTCTCGAGACAAAAAAAAAAACGCACTGATTTTTAGAATGGCAGTTAAGTTTACGATTTTTAAATAGGGGGTAAAACTAGAAGAAACAGCTGGGGGACTTGTGAACACCTACATCTGCAGAGCAGGACTGGGATGTGAACGGCAGGCGGGGTGGTGAGGACGCCTTTAATGTTCCTCTCCTGGTGGCATTAATTTATAATGTAAATTACCTTACTAGAAATTAGTAATTAAAAATAATAAGACAGGGGCACCTGGGTGGCTCAGTTGGTCAAGCGTCTGAGTTCAGCTCAGGTCATGATCTCATGCTTCAAGGTTTTCAGCCCCGCGTCGAGCTCGGTGCGGACAGCCTGGAGCCTGCTTTGGATTCTGTGTCTCCCTCTCGCTGCCCCTCCCCAGTTAACACTCTCTGTCTCTCTCTGAAAATAAATAAATGCAACATGAAAAATAAGACGAAACAGAAATTTGCTCCATCACCGCATCCTTAGGCTGGAAGTCCCTGTCGGGGCCAGGCTCTGTGCCCAGTGTTGAGGTTGAGTGTCAGGAAGATGTCCTGGCCCAGGAGGGCTTGGTGCCTGTGCGGGAAAGGTGGTGCGGAAACAGGCCAAAGCCACTTTCCCTTGGTTTCCAGGAGGCTGTTGGGTGGATGAAGGGAGAGGCAAGCCCCACAGAGGAGAGTCAGTTCTCATGGCCATGGACCTGTCACCTCCTCCCCTCCTCCCACGGTGGAGCTTTGGCTCCAGACCCTTAGTGGGAGAGGGGCAGAGGCCTTTGTCACTGGGTCCCTGGGTTCAGGGCTGGGCAGGGCACAGAGCCCCCCTCCGTACCCTAAATTGGGAGTCCCCAGGACTACTGTGTGCTTCGCTCCCCCCACCTGGCCCTGGGCTCCCTCCCCCCAGGCCTTCTGCACACCTGCACCTGATAGGAGCCCCGCTTCCTCTCTGCCTGGCCTTCGTCCCCTGTTCCCACCATGACATTTTCCTTCTCGGCTTCACAGCTATAAAAAAGCAGGACAAGCGGCTCGGGTATTAACTTCAGATACCGAATATCATCGTGCAGAGTACTTTCCTCTCTTTAGCCGTCGTGCTTTGGGGATTTGTCTGTGCTGGTACTTGTAGCTGGACTTCAGTGTTCTAACCACCACAGAGACTGTATTGCCGCCTAGCCACAGGTGATCCTATGCTGACGCCTCCCTTCGATCCCTGGGGGCTCCAGGAGCCCCCAAGTACCCTTAAAAGCAAGGATGTGCAGCGTCAGAGGACCCTGGCAGCCCGCGTCGTGCCGTGGTGCCTGCCCACCGCACACTCCCGGTGGCTCTCCAGGCCCCTTATGGTGCCCCGGGGGAGGCTGCTTTCCGTGAGGCTCCCTGGTCCCGTGGTCCTCCAGGTGCGCCCACGGCTCCCTCTGCGCCCGCCACCCCTCCATCAGAGTGTTTTACCAACAGTTTAGGAGGCAGGTCAGCCTCTGGGACGGTAACAGCCACAACCATTTTTTAATTTTTATTTTTTAAATTAAAACAAATTTTAATGTTTATTTTTGAGAAAGAGAGCACAAGTCGGGGAGGGGTACAGAGAGAAGGAGACACAGAATCCGAAGCAGGCTCCAGGCTCCGAGCTGTCACACACAGCCCGACGCGGGGCTTGAACTCCTGAACCGTGAGATCATGGCCTGAACTGTAGTCACTCAACTGACTAAGCCACCCAGGCGCCCCTTCAATTTTTTAATGTTTTTATTTATTTTTGATAGAGACAGAGCGTGAGCAGGGGAGGGGCAGAGAAGGGGAGACATAGAATCGGAAGCAGAACCCAGGCTCCGAGCTGTCAGCACAAAGCCCGATGTGGGGCCCAAACTCGTGAACCCCGAGACCGTGACCTGAGCCCAAGTCAGATACTTAGCTGACTGAGCCACCCAGGCTCCCCTGCACAACCATTTTTTTAGCAGCTGCTGTGTGCTAGGCATGGCCCCAACACCCACGCCTGAGTTCATGCTCACAGCGAGCTGATGAGGGGCCATTATCATTCCCAGTCTGCAAATGAAGAAGCAGACAGGAGAGACTGGGACACACACCCTTGCCCCACACCCCCACCACCAAGCACGGCACACATCCCCCCCCCCAGTTCTGCAGGGCCCTGTGGGGAGGGCTGCTGCTGCTTCTGACTGCCCCCCAGAGCTTGCCAGAACCGTGTCGGGCCCCTCCTCCCTTCAGCAGGTGCCATCCTCTGCCCCCACAGCCCCACGATGGTCCCTTGACACGGAGACCTGGGAGGAAGGACTGGCCCAGGCTCTGTTCCCTCCAACTCCCAGAATCACCCCTTCCCTTTTGCTAAAGACACAGGCAGAGGGTGAGGGACAGTTTCCGTCAAGAACTTCAGCTCAGACCCCCAACCTGGGGATCTAGGTTGGAGCCCACTCGCCCCACCGTTACCCAGCAGGTGTGATCCAAACAAGTGCATTTTCGTGGTGCCTTAACCTTCCTCACTGGCAAATGGGGTCAATAATTGACCCTCCTCAGCGCGCCTGGCTGGCTCAAGTCACTGGAGCACGTGACTCTTGATCTCAGTGTTGTGAGTTCGAGCCCCACATTGGGTGTAAATAGTACTTAAAAAAGTAAAACCTTGGGGCGCCTAGGTGACTCGGTTAAGCGTCTGTCTCCTGATCCCAGCTCAGGTGATCTCAGGGTCTTGAGTTCAAGTCCCGCCTTGGGCTTTACTCTAGGTGCATAGCTCACATAAACAAACTTAAAAGAAATAATCATCCTACTTTCATGGCATTGTTAGGAGATAAAAATAAGATATTTCAGGATCCTTGGTGTCTGGAATCTAGAAGGTGTTAGGTGAATGTTGTGGTTGCTGGGGGTGCGGTGAAGTCGGATTGTTTTGAGGGCTGCATCCTTCCTGGGCTGGGGCTCTGGCAAGAACGGGTCGGGCTCTGCCCTCTGGAAGGGGTTGTTAAACCCCTGTAGCCAGGAAGGAATACTCGGCGACTATTCACACGAGGGCCATGTAGACGGGATCCTGAGTGATGGCAAGGAAGGGAAGGATGTTCCAGGCACAGAAGTGCAGAGGTGGGCAGAATCACTGGTTGCTGGGTACAGCAGAAAGAGGATGGAGACTGGCCAGAGGAAATGGTCTTGGGTGGGGGGAATCGGGACCAGAAAGCAGGCTAGAGGGCCACAGGGCCTCATCCTGCCCAAGCCAGGGCTGCCGGATGAGAGGGGCTTCCTCTTGATTCTGGAAGCCCTAGGGAACCACTAACCACCTCAGGGAGGGCCCCATGTGGCCAAACTCGTGGTTGCAAGCATCCAGCTGCAGCTGGGAAATGGGTTGGTGGGCAGAATCGAGGGTGGGAAAGGAGAGGAAGGAGTAGGGGACAGACTGAAGAGCTATGTAGGTGAGGACAAGAGAGCCCTCCGGGAAGTAGATCCACAGAGGGTTCTTGAATGATGCAGAGGGCTCTTCCAGCCTCCGTCTTTCCTCTTCAGTGTACAACCTGCAAGAGCTGTGGTTAAGGGGGCACCCATTCTCCTTGGGGGGAGGAGGAAGCAGAGCAGCTCCCTGGGGGAGGGGACGACAAGGGCGCTCCCAGCGGATCGTCAAGATGAGCTCTGGCCGAAGGCCCACCGCCACTCAGAGAAGGTGCTCTGATAACCCACCCACGTCCTTGCCGTGGCAGCCCGGGCCTCTCTTCTCCCTCCTTTGGGAGCCCGGCGGGTACCGCCCGGACGAGCAGGGGCGGGGCCCGCGAGCGGTTATAGTCGGATCCACGGCGCTCTGGCTCCCCGACGCCGCCGCAGTCCCCGCAGGGCGCCGAGACCCGGTTGCGTTAGTTCCTGGCCTGCCCCGCCGGGCGGCCGTGCACGTGAGCATCCTGGCGCGGGGCACGGGGGTGCGGGGCCCTGCGGGCCGGCCGGTGCTCGCATTGTTGCTGCTGCTGCTGTCGCTGCCCGCTGACGCCTGGTACAAGCACGTGGCGAGTCCCCGCTACCACACGGTGGGCCGCGCCGCGGGCTTGCTCATGGGGCTGCGCCGCTCGCCCTACGTGCATCGCCGCGCGCTCGCTGCCGGACCCGTTGCCTCGGACACCCAGGGCCTGGGCGCGTCCCCGCAGGAGCCATCTGCCAGAGACACCCTCCTTCCGGCGCCCGTCCCCCGAGGTGCTCTTCTGCTGCCCTCTGGGGTTCGGGAACTGTTGGAGACCGGAAGGCACTCGCGCGCAGGGCTCCGGGTCAGTGCGCCTTGGAGCTGGCGCCACCCCGAGCGCGCGCCGGAACTGGAGCCAGGGCTCCTCCGCGGAGCAGGCCAGGTACGTGGGGAGAAGGGGGCGAGGACGTCTGGGGAGATCTGAGCCCGGTGCGCCCACTCACATGCCCACGAGGCACCCCACGACTCTCCTGTCTCCCACTCCTTAGGGAGAAAGGCTTCCCTGGAGTGTCCTACCCTTTCCAGCCTTGGGGACGTTTTGTGTGGGGGGTGGGTAGTGGAGGGCGCACAGCCCTGTCCTCGAGGTCCTGCTCTTCTTTCTAGAGCCTTTGGAGAATCTCCTGTTCAGCCACGGTCTGCCCAGAGAACCGCGTTCGCCGGACCCCACGTCTCCAGGGCTATCCTGAGCACCACCCCTGCTGGCAATGCCCTTTCTCCTGACCCAGGCAGAATACATTAGTTCTCTAGGGCTCACAGCGACTGGTCAATAAATTTGCCTGGTTCATGTGTCCCCATGTGTGACCCCTTTCCTCTGTGATGTGTACTTGGCATCTAGCTCTAGGGCACAAACAGCTGCACCCACGCCCTGGCAAATATCAGGAGCCTTCTCTCTGGCCAAGGGATGCCCGCTCCTAACCATCTCCCAACTGTAAGTGCTGGGGGGACAGAGGCAGAGACATTGCTGGGGCCTAGGTCCCCTTTTCCCTTCTCTGCCAGTACTGCCCCTCCTATTTGGGGGTGGGGTCATCAGACCAGGTCCCAGGGTCCCACAGGATGGGAGAGGTCTCATGGGAGGTAGGCACGAGTCAGCCCCTGGGTCCTGATGCCATCCACCAGAAAGGAGAGTAGGCACTCATACCCTACCAGCTGAGAGCGAGAGCCCCCACCTCAGCCTCCCAGGAGCCCTGTAAGTGCCCCCCCTCACTGTGGCCCCTGGCCAGGTTCGGGAGCCCTGGCAGCCCACCCAGCCTTTCCCCCATCTCCCGGCTTCATTTCAGCCACGATCTCCTTTGTACCCCTTCTTCAGGCCACCCTCTCCTCCTAGGGAGGAAAGGCCCCTTGCCTCCCCAGAGACTCTTCCCCCTCTGATCCTCTCCACATTTCCAGTTATTGGCTCCAAGCCCCATGTAAATGTGCTCTGCCATCTTGAATAAGGACCTCCCTCCACCTGGGCCCCCTTATAGATCCTGCTCACAGGTGCCAGGGCCCCTCCACCCTTCTGCTCCCTCATTAACCCTCCTCAGTATGGGCTCTGACTCCCACAACTGTTCTGGACCAGACCTTGAAGTGCCTGTCTGCTGTGCCCTGATACTGTCAGCCTCCCGGAGCCCTCCCTTGGCCATTTGGCAAGGTGTTCCCTTGGGGCACCCAGCAAGGACTGGAGGAGGGGTGGTCCCATGCCTGTTGGGCCAGCTAACTTCGACAGGCCCACCTAGAACTGGCCCCCACATTCCCCTTGGCCTCTGGAAGCCCCCGTCTCTCCTTACTGGCAACTCCTCATCTCCTGGATGCATCCTTCTCCCCACGTGGTCCCCTAACGTGGGTGCTCTTTTTTGCTCCACCCTCCCAATTCTTACCAACCCCTGGATTTATTTATTTATTTATTATTTATTTTTTAATGTTTTTTATTTTTGAGGGAGAGAGAGAGACAGCAGGGGAGGGGCAGAGAGAGAGGGAGACACAGAATCCGAAGCAGGCTCCAGGCGGTGTGCTGCCAACACAGAGGCCAACGCGGGGCTGGAAGTCACAAGACACGAGATCATGACCTGAGCCGAAGTCAGACGCTTAACCCACTGAGCCACCCAGGCGCCCCGACCAACCCCTAAATTTACTGACTCTGATTCCAGGATCTGCACTGAGGGGAGGGGCAGCCACCTGACTCTTCAGGTCAACACACTCTCTGCACTCCAAGTCCACTCCTGCCAAACTTGGTCTTTCACAACACGCGTGTCCTGTGCACAACACCTCAAGGGCTCTCCACCACTGATGGCACGAAATCCATGTGCCACGTGCACAAAGTCTAAGGCTGCCCTGTCCCGCGGTCTCATTGCTCCCTCCCCTCCCTCACACAGAGAGCAGGAACTCTGGGCAGATTCCAGAACAGCCCCACGGTCCACCCTGAAGAAGGACTCTGGGGCCTCAGGCCGTGTTTAAATGCCCTCCTCAAGGGCTGTGCCAGTCCTGGGCTTGCCCTTGGATCTAAGCGATGTTTCCCCAGTGCTCAGCAGCGCCTGGTGCCAAGTGGCCTGTAAATGTTTGGTCACAAGTGCCGGAACCCTTGGTGAGACGCTAGATTTCACGAGGCCTGGAGGTACCCCAGTCCAGAGAGGTTGGTGCCAGGTCCAAGGTGAAACTCCCCGATTAGGGACTTGGCAGAGGCCCAGCTTCCCTGCCCACCACCTACGTGCACCCCCGTGCCCCTGCAGTACAAGGAGCCCTAGTGCGTCGCTCCCGCTCTAATCTCCACCCAGCCCGGGAGGCCGAACCGAGTCGGAGCCAGAGGGGCGGGGCCTGGGCCAGCCCCTCGGATGAAGCGATCCCAGCGACAGCCAGCAGGTGGCGCTGCGCGGCTGCTCTCTCGGGCTGCAGTCTCCCTGGGAGCAGGGGCGTGGGCGGGCCCAGAGCGGGTGGGCGGGCTCCTGCGCTGCCTCCCTCGGTGGTCGTCGCGGTTCTCCCCTTCTCTCCCCTTCTCGTCTCCGGGTCTCTCGTTCTCATCACAGTTTCCGTCGCGCTGGTCCCCCGCCTGCTCCAGTTTCGAGCTCTGAAGAGAAGCCTGGCGTAGTCCGAGGGAGGAGGCCATAAGCGAGGTCCTATCATCCCCTGGGGCCATTAATGCCCATTAGGGAGGCAGCGCCGGCCCGGGAAGCTCTGGGCCATTACCGGGGCGTCAGACTAATGTCTCCACCCCACAGACGGGTCCCCGACCCTTCCTCTGGCTCGGGACCAGGCCTCAGCCCACTGCCACAGCCCAGAGTCCCCGCCCAGGCCCAGGCTCCGCCCATCGCTGGGGGCGTTGCCCCTGGGAGGTAGCCAGAGCTCGGAGGAAAGCCCCCTCCCCACCAGTGGAGCCCCAGGCCAACCCACACCCCAGGTGGACCCTCTGCGGAGGGAATCCCCGGGAAAGGTCTCCGTCTCCGCCTGTCACAAGGCCTGTGTGGCAAGGTGGCAGGAGTGGGATGAGGGCTTCGGGGCGTGGGGATCACCTCCCACCTGACCTCCCCCTGCTGCCAGCCTAGATGATCACTTTCTCTGGCCCATTTCGCCAGAGACCCCAAACAGCTTACAGCGCCTGAACACCTTTCTGTCTGCTCTTCTGAGCCTTTGTCCATGCTGTTCCCTCGGTTTGTTTCTCTGTCTTGCTTTTCTCTCTCAGCCAGAGGCTGGAGGAAGGGCATGGGAGAGTTTGCCCAGGAGAGCAGCTGGGTTGTCTTCCCTGCCTCTGTTGTCAGGCCCCCATTCTTCCCCTGCTCCTCTTCCCCATTCCTGCTCCCCCTTTGGAACTTAACCTGCAGCTCTCCTTTATTCTGGGGTGTTACCTACCTCCCTTATTAACTCTACTTTGTTGCCTTTTGTTATGCTGTGAAGCAGTGTTCCAGGCCCCTGACTATGACCACCCACCCCTGATTCCGCCTCCCTCCCGTGGTGGTCTGCCTCCCTCCCGTGGTGGTCTGTTCCTATCCATCGTCACTCACTGGCTGAGTCCTGGGCTGCGGGAGGCAGTGAGGGCCAGTGGCTGATCCTGGGAGTGTCTGTCCTATGTGTGTGGGTGGGGTGGGGGGGGGGGAGGAGATGTCCAAGCTTCCCAACCCGGAGGACCAGGGGTTCCTACCTTCTCTGCCCCCAGCCTGGGGGGCTCCCATCCAGCCACCTCCCTAGATGCTGGTGTGACCCCAAGCTACAGCCTGGCAGGTCCTGGCTGGTGCTGGTTGCTATGGGGTGACCCCTAAGCCCCATCAGGAATACTATATAGTACACAGCACTGCCACACCCATCCTCACAGCCACCGGGAGCAGCAGCACCAGGTTGGGTCCGGAGAGGCCAGTCACAGGCCAGACAGGCAGCCTCTGGACAGAAAAGCAGACAGACGCCTATGGCGGCATCAGCCAGGAACTTAGAGGTGGGGGTGGGGAAGCAGCCATGCAGCTTTGGCCTAAGTGGCTTTTAGGGGCAGCAGCTGGGGTGTGGACACCCAAGGGGCTGCAGCCCAGGAGGCTGCCCAGAGGAGGGCTCTGTGCTTGGGCGGAGGCTGGGAGCCCAGGCTGAGGGCACTGGAGAGGGGAGAAGGAGCAGCAAGCACTAGGCCCAAGCTGAGGCTGCCTCTGTCCCCATGGGGAACTGCCTGGGCTGGTTAAGCCTCAGCCCGGGGAACCAGGTATGTGCAGGGGGCTGGGCAGGCTGGGAAGGGGCAGGGGCAGGCTGAGGGGGAGCCTGCAGCTCAGCTGTCTTCCTGTATCCAAGGCTGGGGAAGCGCTCGGTGGTAAAGTGTGGACTTGGCATCTCACAGCCCTGCCCTAAGAGGAGCCAGGGAACCTCGCCTGGGTCTCATTCCTCTTTAGAACTTGGTTCCCTGATCTGCACCCTGGGGTTGTTCCAGATAAAGTGTACTCAGAGCCACAACAAAGCATAAATGGTTTTCTGTTGTCATTTTTGTCTGGTTGGGGGAAGGGGTACTCCTGCTGGGGACGGCTAGATGCTAGGGGAGAAGGACAGAGGGAGGGGAGGGCTGGGGCAGAGATCACAGGGGTCAGCTCCTGGGAACAGCTTCTGTGAGCACTGGTCACCAGCCAGAGGTCAGAGGCCAAAGGCCTCAGTACATTTAATCTCTGCCTGGGATGACCAGGGGCACAAGTGAGAGGCCCAGGGTAAGAGAGGAGTGTGGGGGGTAATGTTTAATGGACGTGCCCAGCACAGGTCCACACAGTCTCCTTGGGAGGGCCAGGGCGCTGCCCAGTCACTAGCCTCCAGAATATAGGGAAGGGCTGCTGCCTTGTCACTTTCAAACTCCTCTTTCTGTCTTCTGGACCATCCTGGGACTCTGTTGGGCCAGGGCAGCTCTGGGTGCAGGAGGGATCCTGACACAGGGACACCGGGGTGTGTGTGTGTGTGTGTGTGTGTGTGTGTGTGTGTGTGTAGCGGGGGAAACTTCCTGAGGATGGTGGGCAGAGCTGTGGCTCTTGTTCTTACCCTCTGGCCGCTGTGTGCGGTTCCTCACCCTGAAGACCCTTTCTCCACTCCTTCCCCCACCTCCACAGCCCGCCTTGGTGCCACGCATACAGTAGGTGCTCAATAAATGCCCCTGGAACAGGAGGCAAAGGCGCTGGCGCCAGGGAGGCTGCCCAGAGTCGGGGCAAGACCGAGGGGGGCGTCCCTAGGCCCCGCAGCCTCCGCCCGGGATTGGAGGGGTGCCGAGGCAGGGCCGTGGCCGGGGCGGGGGCGGCCGAACGGAGGAGGCGGGGAAGGGGCGGGCGCGGGGGCGGCGCCGCAGCCGGAGCCGGAGCCCGAGTCCGAGTC